AGGGAGAGGAGAGAGAGTTTTTATTTTTATTTTTGATTATTTTTAATATTTTAATAATTTATTTGGACTGATTTGCACTTTTTAAAATGTTTTGGATCAGATTGTAATTTATTCTTGATTTTTCTTTTCTTTTCCTTTTTGTTTTATTTAAATTGAAGGGTATATTGGTCATTTTATGTCAAAAATTGGGAAAAAGAACGTTTTGCACAAAAAAAGTGAAAGGTAGGGACGTTATGCGCCAAAAAATGAAACGTAGGGACGTTTTCCACAAGACACATCGTAGGTAGAGACGTTTTGCGCCAATTACCCTTTTATTTAAAGGTTGATTCTAACGGGAGTTGGACGGAAGGACGTTTTGCGCATGAAAATGCAAAGGTAGGGACGTTTTGCACCAAGAAATCAAACGTAGGGACGTTTTCCACAAGGACTGTCATAGGTAGGGACGTTTTGCGCCAATAACCCTAAAGAAAATAATGTCAAAGTAACACCAAGTGAAATTGATGCAAGGTCGAGGTAAGAGTTGAATTCTTTATCCTTATGTCGATTTTATTGCGTGATGGTTCCTAAGTATGATGGCAATCAATTTTCAAGATTTACTGACTATCTTGTTGTATTTGTAGCACTCCAAAATACAAGAACAACGAATCGAAGATTGATTTTTGTACTTCTTCTAGAATGAAATGGAAAACAGATTTTTATGTAGAGTTTTGGTTAGAAAAAAATGAATTTAATGTTATGCTAAGATTGCATATAATTGGAATGAAGTAATAGACGTCCCAATGATTTTATTTATAGAGGAAGAGAGGCTGTGAGTGAAAAAGTGCGCCTCAAAACTCATCAATGATAAGTGCAATTTTGTGCACTTATTTGGGGCCATTTTACTAAGCTTTTGTGTCGTTTTATTATTGCATTTTACTTAAGTTATTTTTATCTTATTTCAGTTTGGGACATGTTTTGAAGCAATTGAAAAAGAAAGAATGATAAATGAGCTAATTGATGGAATTTTGGGGACCAACATGCATTTGGGAAAAATTTGAAACATTACAATTGAAGTAATTTGATAAGGAGGATCAAGATGGAAGAAAGAATGAAGAAAATGGCGGAAAAGAAAAGTGGTGAAAATTTAACCTGGACAACCGCCTATTTAAATGCTTATAGTAATATTCATAATCCAGATCAAGAATTGATCTCATCTATGATTAAACAATTATCCAAAACCTTTTAAACTAAGATAAGATTTTCAAGATCAATCTATTGTTGAGTACAATTTGACGCATAGTTTGAGTAAGTTATAGAAAAAGTTATTTTTCTCAAACTTAAGAGGCGAAGAGTTCCACAACTCTGGACCTAGTTGAACTGGAGAAAGTCGAATTTAATATAGTTATGTGCGAAATTTTACTAAAGGTTTCTGTTTAAACCTTATTTGATTTTTGCCGAAGCATACACTTCGGGGAGAAAAAAAAAATGTATTTTGTAAAACATTGCTTCTTGAATTCATGTTCTTAAATTGAATTATTTTGGATCGAAGAATTAGAAACATGTCGACAAAATTGTTTGAATGATAACCTTAATAATAAGTTGGATGGTAGGCTATCTGCATCACCAGTTGATGTGACCTAATTGATTAATTCTTTGGCCCATACCTTCATGAAATGAAAAATTCGTTTGAATCTTGTCATGTCTATCCATTATATTATGATTTCAATTTTTCATGAAAATTTAATATGTTCGGTTTGAAGAAAGTAGTGAATTAGGGCTTTTGAGAATATATATATAAATTTGAATCGTGAACATAAGGTATTTTAGAATTTAAATTCATTAACTAATATATCATAATAATACGATATTAATAGAATACGCCTGAAAAGCTAAAAAAGTAACATATAATCTTTCAAACCTAGTAATGAATTGATTGGAATGGATAAAAAAAAAAATCGGAATTTTCTCTTATCAATTGCTCTTATTTTAGTTGAATGATTTGTCTTGACTTAGATTGATTCAACCTTGTCGGCGCTACCGAAGAAAAAGGCCCCACATCCAATTTAGAGTGAATCATATGACCTAGCATTCAATGCACGGAAATTAAACGGTACTCTTGAATTGTGGTTACACGATTGAGCTTTAGGATAAATTGGCTGCACATAGCTTTTATTGAGTATTAGAGCTGTATCTTAAAAAATATCAATCTTATTAAGTGAACTTAGATCAAAGCCTAATTATATGTCGATAATAAGTTTACGTATTTACATAATATGAGATTTTACCATTGACACCCCTTTATATTGTTTTGGATAATTTAGATGTAACAATTAATGAATTGAACTGAGCGACGGAAAAATATTTATTTAGAATATCCTTATTTATTTATTTATTTTTTGAAAATAGTGCTTAATATATACAATCATGTATAAATAGTTTGTAATTACATTCCTGGATTTTCATGAAGAATTAAATTTAAGTGACATTAGGTTATGACAAAACGTGATTTTGTCGTTGGTTAAGGTGGCTGTACTTTGATTGTGTTTCTTGAAAGTACAATTTTTCACGCTAATGTCCGGGCATAGTTTTCGAGGTGACTAAGTACAATTTAATCATTGTTTAGGACAAATCAAATTTGCGTTTAATATACATATGTTGGGAGAGAATATTTCAGTAGTCCTAATCAAGCTTAATTACGTGCTATATACTGTCTACTCTATGCAAAACCGTTTTCAAAATACAAAAATAAGTATTTCACTAATATTTATTGAGTCGAGAGGACTATCCAACTTTATATTTAATCGACGTTTTTTTTTTTCCATCTGTTAACATTGTGGTTTGGAATTGATTCTTTATCAATGGTCCACTCTTTCTTTGCAACTTGTCAATGATCGAACTTATATATGAACCGAGTGCCATTTGATGAGTAACTGAGAACAAATGAGACGGATACGGAAAGAATGAAGTAATAAAACAGGAAGTCATTGTTAGTAGTAACGAAAGCAAGGGGATACCTAAGTGTATAAAAAACATTCTTTTTGCTAAGCATATATAATAAAATAGAGTGAAACTGTCCACCCTCAAAGCAAGAGGATACTATTATACTAACTAAAAGCCGACTCCTCTCCAAACAGCTGGAGATAGTTTACCTTTTCATTCAGGTGGTTCAATTTAGAACGTTAATTTTGAAACTTGAATGCATTGAGTTGCTCATTTGAAATCGTACAACTATGATATCATATTGAGGTGTAGTTAAAACTTTTGTAATATTGTAATTATTTTTTATCGTAGTGAAATGTCCTTTAAATATTATATAATTACTTAAAGTTTTCAGATGAAGTGATTGGTTCAAGTAAGTAATCCCAATAATCAACTATTTGCATGTTAATCGAAGAAAGGCCAAAGACGCAATGATTGAATGAACGAAGATGTGGAGCCACTTTTATCAATTTCACCACTCCTTTACCCACCCAATATGTTTCAGTATTTTCTGAATCAAGAAATTGAGTCCAGATCTTTCAGCCTTTAATCTAATCCCACTGTCTTTATCGATAGAAAGATAAAAAGCATCATACGTGGAGTCTGAATCAAGGGACCGTTAAGCTATCATTTCATACAAAAAATAAAAAAATTAACCGTTAGAGATTTGATTGACTTGTTCGCCATGAATTCACTTTTTATGGACCATCGTTAAAATTGAGTTACTCTTTTTAACAAGTTAACATCGTAAAGTAGAACTTCAAAGCCCTAAAGTAATCACCATCGTTGAAAAAGATCTGTGATTGACTTCTAAATCGGATGGTGTAGATCCTCATTGCAGTGAAAGAGTCGACATTACTCGATCATGTAAGTTCTCCGAACTTTGAAGAAGGTGAACGAATAGATTATTGTTCCAATCATGCTACATGTGCATTTTTTTTTTAACATTATTTCTTGCATTGTGACACGTGACGACATATAATTAGACAATTTAAAACAAAATATACTTTTCCGTCCGACATTTTTTGAACTCTCACACAATGTACACAAAGATGTCACCACACAATGTACACTTGGCATTACGAACATTATCTCTCAAAAATAATTATTCAGAAACTGGAATTTTACTTTAGTAGCCTAAGAAAAGCAAAGATTTTTCATAAAGAAGATTGCTTTCTCCAGCCATTCCCCACTCATTATGTTTGTTGCTGAAAGCTTGCACTCAACTCCTCTCTCTCTTTCCTAAAAAATATTATTAAAAAAATCCAATTGCCAGCTCCCATCTCAAAGGAAACTGCAAGAGTCCAACTTATAATTAGAGAGAGAGAGAAAACCCACGAAACACTGAAAACCCACAAAACTCTGAATTCAGGTTCATTTGCAGATTTAGCTATAAACAGTATAATACACTGTTAATTACTATAAGATCATGGATGGTGATCTTGGAAATGGAAATTCTATGCGCAGGCCTAATTTTCCATTGCAATTGCTTGAGAAAAGAGAAGAAGAAGAAGCATGTTCAAGCTCAAAGAGGACCGTGTCCGGTTCGGAACCACCCAAAAAGCCGCCGCCGAAAAGAACCACCACCAAGGATAGGCATACCAAAGTAGAGGGCCGTGGACGGCGGATCCGTATGCCGGCAACATGTGCTGCTAGGGTTTTTCAGCTTACGAGAGAATTAGGCCTTAAATCTGATGGTGAAACAATTGAATGGCTGCTTCAACAGGCTGAGCCGGCGGTGATTGCATCCACCGGTACTGGAACCATCCCGGCGAATTTTACTTCATTGAATATATCAGCTAGGAGTTCAGGCTCAACCATGTCGGCGCCGTTAAGGAATATTTACAATCAAAATTACGCGGCTAGCTCTCATTTGAGGTGTATTGAAGAATCACAAAGGAGATTTTTGTTCCCTGAGATTGGATTATCGTTCAAGAATGAGACGACGGCTGGGGGGGAGACGAGCCTGAGAAAAAGACGGCAACCGGAGGAAGATCTGCCACCGCCACTTCAAACACAAATGGGGAGTCATAATTATATGTTACAATCAAGCACAAGTTCAATTCCGGCAAGTCAAGGCCAAAATATTCCGGCGACGGCATTTCGTATGGTAACAAATGCTAATAGCCAGGTGATGAGTAGTACTAGTGGTAACTCTTTGTGGCCATTGGGAAGTGCAATGTCTAGTGGTGGATTACATTTTATGAATTTTCCTCCACCTATGTCATTCTTGCCAGGTCAACAACTTGGCGGCGCTACTGGTGGTGGTGGTGGTGCGGTTTTGGATGGCCATATGAGCATGCTTGCGGCATTCAATGCTTTTAGGCCAATTTCAGGTAGTTCTGCACCTTTGGATGCACACTCAAGCGATCCTGATCCAAATCATAGGGCTGATCATCAGAATGTTACAACTAGTCATCACTTCTAGATCATATTTCACCAAGATAAATTCAGACTCTCTTTTCATTTTCACTAAATTCTTGAACATTTCAGTGTATCTCTTTATATGTATGTATATATATTGATGGTCACTTACAGTGATTTATATATATATATCTAATTCTGTTTCTTGAAGATAAATCTTTCCTCAATCCATCATTTTTATTTTCATACTAAAGCAGTACTTAGGGTTTTTGAAGAAATATAGAAAGAATGGTATGGATATTTCTGCATATTGAAAGATTTCAAACTTTACCCGCCATTTATACTTTTGGTTCAAGAAATTAAGACTAATTTAATTTGAATGGGACAATTCACTGTCGAAGGTTTCTTGCTCACCTTATATAGATATTAGATAGATTTCACTTCATTCAGGATCATAACATTTAACACAACATTTTCGCAAGTATGAAGTTTTGAAACTTAAGTACTTTTACGTGTTAAAATATTTTAGGTTTAATAACCTCATCTGAAATCTTAAACTTTTGAACGAGTAGTTAAATAGCACAAACCTACGTGTACGACAGAGAAAGAAAGAGAGGCAATGGCCGCATTATTATTGAATTACAATAAGAGAAATTTTGATTCTGTAGTTTTACATAACTCTGAATTTCTTTTTTAATCACCATGTATAGGTGGCATATTTCATTAATAATAAAGATAATACGGACTTAAGAGAAGACTCAACATGACCAACTCATCCGTCCAAAGATGGCATGTTCTTCATCACTCAAATGTTCATATCAAAGTACTGCATCCATGATGAAATTGAGAAAACGGACTAATCTATATATAGATATATTTTAGTTTCTGCCATTTCAGGTGGCTGCTGTGTGCCCTAGCTGTGTGGAATCATTCTTGAATAAGGTGCTGCTGCAGCCTAATTTATGGTGGTAGTTTGTGGTGGTCCTACCTACCTGTAAATCTGAACAGTCAATAAATTGCCTGTTGTTGATGATTCATAATGGTTACTTCTTGTAAGTGATTCTGAAATTCTTATCTTGATACTTTTTAAAGCAGCTTTCTGGATAGAGAAAAATGGGAATATATACTGTGGTTTTGCTTTGTTGTAATGGCCCAGTATATTAATTATTGCCATTCCTGTAAGAATATATACTAATGTTGAGTCAGCAGCTGTTTCGTTGGAAGTTCTATCAAATATATAAGTGTACATGAAAATATTGTTTGTAAAATGGATTTAAGCAATTTTTTTTTTTTAACAAATTTAACTTGCCAATTTTACCAAAAATTGGACAGAGTAACAGTGAGGAATTAAAGTAATAAATACCAAACAAATGGAAGTTAAAACGCCAACGAAAATGGACAAAGTAACACCAAGAAAATGGATTCAAAGTCGATGCACAACTTGAACTATTTGTCATTAAATCGATTTTGCCCCCCACAACGATGCTTACGAATTATGGCAATCAAGGACGGATCCAGGATCAAATTACAGATTTAGCTAATATGTANTGATGACAATCAACTCCTAAGATACAATGAATACCTTCTTGTATTTGTAGCACTCCAAAACACAAAAACAATGAACCAAAAAGAAGACTTTCGTACTCCTTTCGAATGAAATGAAAAACATTTTTTTAATGCAGAATTTCGATTAAGAAAATATGAATTTCAATACTATGCTATGATTGGATATGATTGGGATGAAGTAAATGACGTCCAAAAGATTTTATTTATAGAATATGAGGGGTTGTGAATGGAGAGTCATACCCCAAAACTCGGCAACCTTTATCAAGGGTCGCTCGCATGTCGTGTGTGTGTCGCTCGATCGCAAAAAGTAGAGAGTCTGTCGCTCACCAGCACTGGTTGTCACTATAGCGACAGTTTTAGGTGCTGAGAATTTGATTTTTTCCTCTAACTTTAGACTATAACTTCTCATTTATCCGAAATTGGGTCTTAAATTTCAAATATACCACGATCATCCATTCGACGAGCAAATCAAGTTAGTCTATTTACTTTTATAATTTGACTATCGGATCATTTCCCATTATTTGGACGAAGGTCACACGAAAGTCACTTTTCACATTTTTCATGATTTCATACTTTAACTTATTTTTATTTTTTAAAACCAAATTTCAAAAATCCCCTACATGAATGGAAATTTCATAATATGCAAATGATATGCATACTCTAACAAAAAGAAATACATACAACAAGTTATAGCATCGGGATAAGTGTCTTGTGGCTTTAAATCTTCCTTAGTTGAATACAATCAAATCTACTAGGCTAATTGGTGAATGTGATATCTTGAAACATTCAACCGTTCGTGTCAATCAAAACAACTGTACCAATACCATAACTTATCTAAACACTTCGATTCTCATGGTCGTATTCATTTTAGCTATAAACAACTCTTGTTTTCATAAGTGTTTTAAGAGAATTTAAGTCTCAAATTCTCATAGAAGCGACTCAACCTCATACTTATATAGGTGATCTCCTATATATCGTGTCATACATCTCTTGGCTACTTTTAAAATATATGAATCATTAAAAGTATACACTTTTCCTTATAAACTTTTTATTCTAGCACTTTAAGTCTATAGGAATGGGAATAAGTGCTTCATTCTGAATCTTTCATAACTTAATTGTCTCATTGAACCAAATCTTGGAATTTTCAATCTACAAGATTGAGTTGTTGCTATGGTGATTATATTCGACATGCTTCAGGTCCATTCCCCAAGAAAGATGATATACTTAATCTCTCAGTAGTCATTTCATCAAAGGATCTTCTATGTTTTCCTTCACTTTAATATAGTTAAACCAAAATTATGCCATTCGATATCAATTGTTTAATGGTATTATGTCTCTGAAGAATATGTCGAGATTTACCATTATACATACTATTTTGTCTCTGACGAATGCATATTAATCGCACGTATTGACTTTTCTCAACATGGAATACCCTCAAGAAAACTACGAAGCCATTTTGCTTATTCTTCAGTTTTGTCTAAGACAATAAACACATATTCCATCATAAATCGAGCTATACAAGTCTCCTTATATTATTTCCAGGACATAACTCTGTCTCCAATAGTAAACACATAATCACTTATAGACTTTGAATCATTTGTGTCGATATCCAATTCACATCGGTACATCCTTCTAACACCGCAGGATATCTTGAGTAGTGTAATCCATAATCAATCGAATCGTGCGTCTTAAGTATTTAAGAACTTCGGTTAATATCTTCTAATGGTCATTACTTAGATTACATGTAAATCTACTCGATTTGTCGACTGCATATGTTATAACTAGACGCATGCAGTTGGTGATGTATATCAAGCTACCTATAAAGCGTGAATATTACAATTGAGATATGGGATCACCAGTATTTTTCGCCAAATGTAAACTTAAGTCCACTGGTGTCTTAATCGATTTATCGTCATACGTTTTAAACTTTTTAAGTATAGTCTCAACGCAATGTGATTGAGACAATGATAAACCGTCAGGTATCTTAGAGATTTTATTTCGTAATATGACGTCAGCGACTCCCATATCTTTCATGTCAAAATATTTTGCCAACATTTTTTTAGTTGCGGTAATAACATTTGAGTTATTTTCTATGATTAGCATATCATCAACGTATAGACATACGATCACATATTCGTTATGTGTGGTTTTGATGTCATTTTCATTAATTTTGAAGCAATTTGACAACATAGTCTTATGAATCCTTTACCTTTTACTACGCATTGGTTCTTCATTTACTTGATAATTTCCATCGACAATATTATAAGTTCGTTTATGTGAGCTTACTTCTTTTTCTTTACAAGAAAATATATCTTCAAAAAAGCAGCATTCCTTGATTCAATTATAGTACTTACGTGTATATCAAGTATTTCTGATTTATAAACCAGAAATTGATATGTACTACTATTATTTGCATATCCGATAAACACACGATCTATTATTTTCGGTTCAATCTTTACTTGTTTAGGTTTAGATATTTGTACTTTTGCTAAACACCCCCACACTTTAAGATATTTGTATGAAGGTTTTCAACATTTCCATAATTCATAAGGTGTTTCAACCTTACTCTTGTGTGATATTTTATTAAGGATGTGATTTGCAGAAAGTATAGCTTTCCCAGAAGTTTTGAGGAAACCCGATTACCCGAACTTATTAACATTGCATTCATCATTTTCTTAATTGTCTGATTTTTGCTTTCAACATTAGATCGAGATGAGTATGGCACCGTTGTTTGATGAATGATTCTAGATTCTGAACAAAATTTTTCGAATGGTGTAATGTATTCTCCACCTCGATCACTACAAATTATCTTTATTTGTTTTCCAAGTTGATTTTCAACATTAATTTTATAGTGCTTAAACACTTCCAAAACTTTATATTTGCTTCTCAACAGGTATACATAACAGTATCTTTTACAATCCTATATGACTATGATGAAATACTTTTTACCACCTTTTGTTTTGACAAATTTTAAATCACATATATTGGTGTGAATAAGTTCTAAAGTTATTGTTTTTCGTTCAACCGAATAAAACAACACTTTAGCTAACTTAATATCTACACAAATCTCGTATTTTTCATTTGTATTAAAATACATACTTGGTAGTAAACTTAAATTCATTAATTTTCATAAAGAATTGAAGTTTACATGTTCTAATCTATGATGCTATAAATTAGACGACTCAAGAATATAAGTAGAAGAAGATATTTTATTCCTTGAGTAATTTGGTACAATTGTGAGAATATTCGTTCTAAATAGTCCATCTTTTCATAACCTTTGCCTATATACATATTGTTCTTGTTAAGCATAAACTTATCATATAAAAAGACTAATTTAAAGTCATTTTTGCTTAACAAAGAATCCATC